ATCTCTCATGGTTCTGTGGGTTGACTGGGTCAGGTGGGAAGTTTTCACCTATAGTCTCATGCAGATGCAGTCAGATGGCAGCTGGGGCTGCAGTCATCTGAACGCTGAACTGGGCTGGATGTCCAAGATGACAACTCCTATGGCCACCAGTCAATGTTCACTGAGGACTGGGAGTTCTTCTGGGGTTACTGATTGAGCATCTATATGTAGTTTGTGTGGTTTGGGCTTCTCACAGAATTTAGAATCCACAGAATGGTGGGATTCTAAAAAGGAGTATTCTATGAGAAAGCTTTTCAAGAGATCCAGGCAGGAACTGCAAGGCTTCTAATGCCCTACATTCACAAGTCCCAAACTTCACTTCTTGTGTATTCTATTGGTCAAGCAATTTCCCAGGGCCAGCTTGGATTCAAGAGAAGGGAGATAAGACAATAACTCTTAACAGTAAGAGGGTCAAAGAATTTGCAGTCATCTTTGTCACAGTCTGCTCGCTGATTGCATATTATTTTCATTCCTCCCACATGGTAAATACACGTATCTCCTCCTAAGACCCAAAAGTCTCATCCCATTATGGCATCCACTCAAGCTTGAGGTCCAGGATTTTATCACCTAAGTCAGATCTTGATGCAGATGAGCCTCCTTGGGGTGCAGGTCCCTGAGTACAGCTCTTCTCAGTCTGAAGACCTGTGAGATGAAGAGACAAGTTATCTGTCCCACACACATAAATACAGTGGTGATACAGAGATAGGATAACTTCACTAAAGCTTTTATTCAACAGGGAAAGAAATGGGAGGCACATCACAGTCACTGATCCATAGCAATTCTAAACTCCAGCCAGGTGCATGTTGCCAGATCCTTGATTAGTGAGTTCCCAGTCGTGCCTCCCTGGGAATGATTGTAGCTCTTGGCTCCCCACTCCTACTGGGATTTTGATTCTGCTCTCTGAATCATTCTTCCTTTTCCATAAGAAATGGCCATGTTTGCAGCTTAGTAGCCTACTTGTCCTGCTTCCTACCCATAGAAGGCTCTCTACAGTTTGAACTGTCTCTTTCCTATTTAGTTCAGGCTGATGGTGCTTTTGCATGTACAATTCTCTTAAATTTTTTGTAAGTTTCCTAAAGACTCTTTCAGGTTCACTCCATTAGTCAAAATACATACCTACAAATCTCTTCAAGATATGCCACTTTCTGCTTGGGCTAACAGGTGCTATGGAACAATGCCCTTCAGAATCCTTCAAAGTCTGTGAAATAGACTTTCGCCTCTCCATGTGGCCTGGGCTTCTTACGGTATGTCACCTTCAAGGTTTTTAAAATCTTAGCGAGCGTCTTAGAGCCGTATCTCTGAGATGATCATTACCTTATATCATGTCTTACTTTGAGAATTTTTTTTCCAGCTGGAGAGGCTTAGAATGGAAAATAGCTTTCTTTCTAAACCCAGTAAGTCTGGCTTCTTATATTCTATCTAAGTTTTGCTTGAAACTGAATAGTTCATTATGGTAGCAGGGAGTTCACTTCCCTATATTCATACCTTACCATACTTGCCTAAGAGAAACCATTAAGCATGTTTAGCATTCTGCCTGGAAGTCTCCTTAGCCAAATCTGCCATTTCCTAGATATATTTTCTGTTTTTCATGTTACCAAAAGCAACGGTATACCAAATTACCCATCATTACAAAACAAAGGATGCCTTTTTCCAGCTTCCAATAACAATGTCCTCATTTTCCCTCTAGTTCTCATTAATAGTTTCCTCAGGGACCTCACAGCTTCTTCCTGATGCTTGGACGTTCCCAAAGCCAACGTCCCACATTTTAAGTTTTCATTATGGCAGCACTCCAGGTACCAAATTCTGTTCTAAGTATCCATCGTTCCATAGAATGCCACCCAAAACATAGTTGTTTAAAACTGCAATTTATTATTTATCATGATTTTATGGGTTGACTTGGTTCAGCTGGATGATTCTTATTTGGGCTTTCTCTTACAGTTGCAGTCAGATGTTAGCTGGGACTGCGCTCAGCTGAAGGCTTGATTGGGATCCGTGTCTATGATGGCACACTCAGATAGCTGGCAGCTGATACTGGCTGTGGGAGGGAAGCTCAGTTGGAGCACCTACTTCGGGCCTCTCCATGTGGCCTGGGCTTCTTACAGTATGCCACCTGGTTCCAAGAGGGACCGCTCTGAGAGGGAACGTTCCAGGAGACCCAGGCAGAAACTACAACACTTCCTATGACCTAACCACAGAAGTCCCAGAACATCATTTTCACTGTATTTTATTAGTCAAGCAAGTCACTATGGCCAGCTTAGATTCAAAAAGGGAGGAATTAAGGAAAGGAGAAGACATAGAGACTTGCCTCTCGTTAAGAATCCATCTCTTAACGAGAAGCAAGTCGGTGTCCTCTCCTTTCATACTATTCTACACAAATTATGGGTCAGCTCTGCATATCTGGTAACTCCTTCCTTTAAATATTGATGCTGATCCTGCTCCCAAGGCCATCTTGTCTCTTACCATAAAAAAAAAATGCACATATCCTACAAATATATAGACTTAATCTGATATTCTTCTGAGCTTTATATTTGAAAATATGTTAACTTTTAGTGATCCTCCCACCTCAGCCTCCCAAAGTGCTGGGATTACAGGCATGAGCCACCACGCCCAGCCTTCTCTTCTCCTTAGGACACATGAAAGCTAAAATTGACAATGGCTCTGTCAAACAGCCATCCATGGAGAACCTAGATCAAGAATATTGCCTCTCAATCCCCAGAGCTCTCTCACTCCACTTGATGGGGCCCCATGGGGCCAGGTACTGAGGGGACTCCCCTCTCTGTACCCCACCCATCACTAGCTTCCCCCTGCCCCCTGGGGGGGCCCCTAAACTGGGCACTGGCTCACTCTCACAAATACTTTAAGGGGGAGTGGAAATGGAGGAGGTCATTGCTGTTTTGTTTAACTGGAACTAGAACAGGGATCATGTCCTATTTTAGGACAGAAACGGGAAAGGATATCAGGATCTCACTTCTGCACTGGCCACCACCACTGCCACTCATCACATTGAGTGGATGTCCCTCGAGAGTTTGTATAAATTCAGGTCAGAGCTGCAGCTACACAGCCGTCCAGTGTCATAGAAAAGTAATTCACGGATGACTGCTCTCTCCATTTGGAAGGATGCAGTCTTCATGTACAGTGATGAGAAACTGTTATTTTATAATCTTTTCATTAAAAGCTTGGCTGAAAACCAAAAAAAAAAAGACTCTCTTTAGACAATTTCTTCATGAGCAATTAGCTGCCTGAAACAAAGAAGAAAACACCCGGATCAAACATGTTTATAACCTTCAATTAATTACCACTGCTAAGTGGCAGACCAAAGTGTAAGTCTATGTCCAATTACACACCTTATGGGCCATTGCTTTTGTTCGTGTAATAAGCTGTCAGCCCCCTTTTGCTATCTTCATCCTTCAGAATGGCTATCTGATGTGGGTGAAAGTGAGTGGTCATTCTCCACTTGTGCTTCCTCTACCTCTGTCAACAAGCATGACAGGCGGGAGGAGGCTGTTAGGGAAGAGGAGAGGAGGAATGGAATGCACCAAGGGCCTCTGCAATTTTATAACTATGACAGAGAATATACACGCCCCTGCTCAAATGATCATTTGGCAGTATGTCTCACCTTGCCAAGAGCCAGTATAGCTTGGAGAGAATGGGCACGAGCTCTGGAGTCAGGGAGCTTGTATCTGGTTCCTGGCCCTTCCATTTAAGGTGCAACAATGGACAAGTTATTAAGCTAAGCCTCTTTGTGCCTTATTTCCTCAGTTCTCAATACTCATCCCGTTTCTCCTGTTAGTCGCATGTAATTACCCAATCACTCCCTCCTTCTGAAAACACCCAGAGTGACTGAAGAGTCAGGGAGAGCTGACTTAACACTGGGCAATCAGGTGAGCACGTCTGAGGAGGTGGCATTTAACCTGAGCCTTGAATGACAAGAATAACCCAGCAGACTTGTAACAGTCATGGCAGGTGTATTAGTTTCCTGCAGCTGCTGTAACAAATTACCACAAACTGGGCAGCTTAAAACAACAGAAATGTATTTGCCCATAGATTTGGAAGCCAGAAATCTGAAATTAAGGTGACAAGGCTGCCCTCCCTCCAAAGGTTCCAGGGGAGAACCTGTTCCTTGCCTCTTCTGGTGGCTCAGAAGTTTTTTAGCTGTGACCACATCTCTCCAGTCTCTACCTCTGTGGTCACATTGCCTCCTCCTCTTCCCTGTGTGTCCTCTTCCCTGTGTGTCCTCTTCCCTGTGTGTCCTCTTCCCTGTGTGTCCTCTTCCCTGTGTGTCTTCTTCTCTGTGTGTCCTCTTCCCTGTGTGTCCTCTTCCCTGTGTGTCCTCTTCCCTGTGTGTCCTCTTCTCTGTGTGTCTTCTTCCCTGTGTGTCCTCTTCCCTGTGTGTCTTCTTCTCTGTGTGTGTGTCTTACAAGGATGCATGTGATTGCATTTAGAGCCTACCTGAATAATCCAGGATAAGTGCCTCTTGTCAAGATTCTTAGTTGAATCACATATTTTTGCTATGTAGGGTAATATTCACAGGTTCCAGGGATTTGTAGGTGGACATATATTTTGGGGGCCACCATTCAACCCACTGCAGTGTGGTCAAAATATAAAAAGAAAATCAGACTGGATGGGGCCTTTTCAGCCTGGTAAGGGGTATAGTATTACTAGCAACGAGAAGTCATTAGAGATCTCAGGCAGTTTATACTGAGATGTGTGTGTGTGTGTGTGTGTGTGTGTGTGTGTGTGTGGTTTTTTTTAATTTTTTCTTTTAGAGGCAGCATCTTGCTCTGTAACCCAGGCTGGAGTGCAGTGGTGCAATCCTAGCTCACTGTAACCTTGAAACCCTGGGTTCAAGCAATCCTCCTGTACCTGAAACTACAAGCACACACCACTGATAGCTAATTTTTACATTTTTAATAGAATCGGTGTCTCTATATGTTGTCCAGGCTGGTCTCAAACTGCCGGCCTCAAGTAATCTTCCTGCCTTGGCATCTCAAAGTCCTGGGATTACGGGTGTGAACCACTGTGCCCAGCCTATACTGAGATATGTCTTATGATGATCACTGATCACTCTTGCTGCTTTGTGAAGAACGGATTTGGAGGGAGAGTAGAAGTAGAAAGACCAGTTCACAGGCCATTGCCAATCTGAAAACTTGAGTATGGGCAGATCTGATATTCTCCATGTAGATTACAGCCAAATAATCCTTCATCAAAGCTTGCAACACAATATTGCTCATAAGAACAATTTTTTTGATAAAGCAACTTCTCATTCTAAGTCCTACAAAACAGGTCTATGTCCTGGCCCCACTTTATTTTACCTTTAATCCAAATAATTTACTTCTGCTATTAACTAAAATGAACTCATGCTCTGTTTTCCACAGCATTTGGGGACTTCCTCCATTATACTGATGACATGGTTTTAGAGTCAGGAACTCAGAGTGGCCTTGAGAAGAAGCTAAAACATTTGGTAACAACAATCAGAAAGAACAATCTCAGGTGAGCCACACAAAAGTGAAAATATTGGCAGCGGGGAGCAAGTGGGTAAGTAATAGACTGAATCCTTCCTGTCTCAGGCTGGTCAGGTGCCATAACAAAGTACTGTAGATTGCGTGACTCATCAACAACATAAACTTATTTTTTACAGTTTTGGAGGCTGGAGGTCTGAGATAGATCAGGGTGCCAACATGGTTGGGCTCTGGTGACGGCCCTATTCTGGGTTGCAGATGGCCGTCTTCCTTTTGTATTCTCACATGGGAAAGAAGCAGTTTCTGTTTTTTTTTTTTTTTTTTTTTTTTTTCTCTTCACATGGGTGCAGTCCAGCCACTCCCCCCCCCCCCCCCCCCCCCCCCCCCCCCCCCCCCCCCCCCCCCCCCTCCCTCCTCCTCCCCCGTCTCCCCCCAAGGCGGGAACAGCTAGCCACCGCCCGCCCCTGGACTCTTCTTATAAGGGCATTAATCTCATTCATGAGGGCTCCATCCTCAAGACTTAATTACCTCCCAAAGGTTCCACCTCCTAATATAATCATATTGGGATTAGGGTTTCAATACATGAATTTTGGAGGAACACAAATAGTCCATTGCACCCCCAGCCATGCCCCGCAGGCCTTTCTTTCATGACATGAAGGTTTCCTTGCAACCAACTCAGTTGATGGGTCCATTAGCTTACGGATGAGTCCAGAAATAGACTTTCTGCAGAGATGAGACTGAGCATTTTTGTGATTAAAAAGAAGCAGTGCTTTTATTAATGTTGCTTTTCAGGCCACAGTTGTCTATTTCATGCATAGAGCAGATATCTCTGAGGTCTTAACCAAATATACATGTTTTGTGTGATAAAACTAGCCATTGAAATAGAACACTGATTCTATTTCAAAAACAGATGTTGGCTCTACCAGCAGTTATCCCTGCAGCCACCCTCTGGTTTTACCTTGCCTCACAGGGAAAGGGAAGAGAGGACCAACCATTTATTGCCACCCACTTTGAGGGGTCTCACTTTGTGGCAGAGACTTCTGATTGTCCTTCAATGTTCACCCTTCCTCCCTGTGCCCCTTCACCCTCAATTAGTAATAGGATCCTTGATTTTTAACTAGAGTTGCCAGATAAAATATAGGACATCCAGTTAAATTTGAATCCCAAATGAACAATGAAAAAAATGTATGTTTCAAATATTGCATGAGACATACCTATGCTCAAAAAATTATTGTTTATCTAAAATTCTGATGTAACTGGGTGTCCCATATTTAACTGGGTTGTACTGAACAAAGATGACATTTCTCACCTTTCCCTGAGGCTAGGTGAGACCTTGTGACAAAATTCTGGCCAAAGGGATGTAGATAGAAGTGTTCTTAAAAGAAAATAATATGCCCTCTCCCTTTCTTCTTCCTGCCTGCGTGCTGCGATGTGAAGGTAATTCAGGAACTCCAGCAGCCATTTTGGACCATGAAGGGATCTTGGGAATGGAAGCCATTCGTGGTACAACAACATGCTAGAAGGAGTCTGGTCCCTGGTCTAGAAGATGAGTGAAAAATAAACTTCTACCTTATTGAAGTCACTGTTATTTTTGTTTTTTTCTGCTACTTGCAGCTGCAGCTAATACTACCTACTACACGACATCTTCTAATTCTCAGTTAACCTTGAAAGGCACATTATTCACATTTTGGCAAATAGAATCCTGAAGCTGAGAGGAGCACTTGGTCAAGGTGGTCACATAGTAATCACTGAGTCAGATTTTGAAACCCAGTCTATGCGAATGGTATCCTGGGCTCTTATTTTTCTACACTACATTACTTCTCTGGGTAATCCTTTTTATCAAATTCCTAAGGTTTCGTAGTATAATATTAAATTTGCTTCTGCATGTCTGCTATCTAAAGCATTTAGCCTTCTCCCTCACCAAAAGTACAGAACGAGACATTTCTGCTGTCAATGTTATAGGATCTAAAACTCCATCCCTAGATCTGATATTTGAGAGATCTGCACCAAACCACACATTATTTATTTACTCGTTTCCTTTGGGGTTGCTAAAGAAATGTTTCTAGTCTGTATTAGTTCCCTGCAAAAATGTCTTAAGTGAGTTATGATTCAGTATGAAGCGCTCACTTTTATAGAGCATCAGTATGAAAAGGTCTATTTGTCTATAGCTTTTCAAACTTACTGGGTTGTTCGTTGTTCCTTGTAAAAGAGAATTTTCATGCAATAAATTTCACACTGAATTTAATGCCAGAAAAAAAAAATTTTCAATATCTATTCAGGCATAATTCTTTGTTTGTTTGTTTGTTTTCATTTTTGTCAAATATCAAGAGAATAAGAGAGCTTAACAGTTACTTTTTTGCTTTGGTTTCTAGGAATCTTGGAGTTAAATCTCATGTTTATTTGTGGTCATTCAATCATTCCAGATACTAAAATATTTATTTCTGATTTTTTTCTTTTTTAAAATCCATTTTTTCTTTTTCTCCAACAGTTTTTTTTTCTTGTCTCTACGTTTCCATTTTAAGATACATTTTTATTATAACTGACTATTTCAAATCTGCCTTCATTTATTTCACAAATGCTTATTCATTGCCTCCTTTGCATACCATACTTGCCTGAAAGAAGGTAAGCTGCAAGCTATAAATTCCTAACTGAGCCTTTGCTTATAACTCATGAAAACTATTTTCTTTTGAAATGGCCCTACAAATCTCTACCAAATAACTTCTTCCAGAATTAGATGAAGATCAACAGTAAACCCAATATTTTCCAAAATTTACATTCTTTCCTGTTTAAAAAACCAATGTATTAGCCCCATCATTCTAGTCTTCTGACAGAAAGCATGTAGCAGTCACAAATTTCAGGTACCATTAATAGGACCAATCCTAGAGAAAACTGTGGAGGGAGCAGCGTTTTGACAGCGCCATCTCTTGTGCAAGTGGGGCTTTGCTCTGGGTTCCCGAACACTGAGTACTTCTGGGCCCTCTTTTCACCCACTTCTAGCTACCAACCCTCTTCTCAAAGGATGTCACAGGCATTCATTATAGCTTTGTGTGGATGTCACTCTTTTCTCCCCCAGGGGGAATGGCATCTTAGCCCTTATAGCAAATTAGGAAGTGAAGGGCTTCATCCCCATTAGAGGAACTGTATACACTGTTGAATAGGTTTGGAGAAGGGGGAGGGGCTAGGCGCGGTGGCTCAAGCCTGTAATCCCAGCACTTTGGGAGGCTGAGACGGGCAGATCACAAGGTCAAGAGATCGAGACCATCCTGGCCAACATGGTGAAACCCCATCTCTATTAAAAATACAAAAAATTAGCCGGGCGTGATGACAGGCGCCTGTAGTCCCAGCTACTCAGGAGGCTGAGGCAGGAGAATTGCTTGAACCCAGGAGGTGGAGGTTGCAGTGAACCAAGATCATGCCACTGCACTCCAGCCTGGGTGACAGAGTGAGACTCCATCTCAAAGAAAAAACAAAAAAAAAAAAGAATGGGGAGGGAGGGTGAAAAGCAAGACTTGAGGGCTTTGGAGACAGTAAGAAGCTGGGGCCTTCCTGGTGTCTCTGAAGTGGCCGTGCAGTCGGCATCCACATGTCTGCTTGTCCTGCCCAGCAAAGCACCTGGCAGGTGCATGTCTCCATGGTGATGCAGCCCATTCTGTCAAATATTACTGAGCTTTCAAAGGGTGGAAAAAACAGCCAAGCAGAAAATTTGAGCCTTTCTGCTAGACCAGGGAGGCAGAATTGGAATTTTTATTTTCTTGCCCCCGCCCCCAACTGTTAGAAATGGTTGACCTCATCATCTAGGATAGCCTGAGCTTTCTGCTCTTTCAAGCTGAAAAGAGAGACCAGCAATGGTCCATATTCCTAAAGAATCTGTTTGGCTCCTCCATGACATTCCCCTCCCTCACACATGGGGTTTCCCCTCTGCCCACAGTCTCTTCTTGGAGGAGGCTCCTGATCCAGTCCCCTCCAGCCTCACAGAGGGAAATCATGTGCAGTGATTCGCAGACGTGATGGCTCACAAACCCCTTTCACGTGCTCCGCCAGGTAGGTTTATGATCTCTGCATGCCTGCTGAGGAAACGAGCTCAGGAAAATTTAGTGGCTTGTATAAGATTTACAAAAAATGAGAAAGCAGAGCTGGGACTAACAGGTCATAGCTCTCACTCCAAGACAAGAGTTATTTTCAGTTCTCTTCAGCGAATGTGTCTGCGGAGAGCCAAGCAGGTTGGCGTCTTCTCAGAAGCCTCCCGCTAGCAGATGCTCGGTCCCCTTTCCTTCACTCCCCCAGTGCTTCGCTCACACCTCTTCCATTCTAGGCGGCTGTGGATGTGACTCTGTTCCTAGGCTGTGAGTCTGTCAATGGCAGGGACAATGTCTGATTCAACTCCAACTACCACATGCCTACCACCATGAATGTCAAATGAAGGAATGAACTCGGGGCTAGACCCTTACTGCTGTCACGCCAACATAAGAAGAATACTCTAGTCCTTGTGGCACTCTGTACAGAAAAAAAAAAATCATTTTTTGACACAGTCATCCCCACTGTACCATTGTTGTGTTCCTTGAATAAAGGAGCAGGCTTTAGGTGCCGTGGGGCATTTTAGTGGGAAAGATTTAAGGCCCTGGAATAATATCTGCCTCATCAAGTCCACATCAGAAAATCAAACAAACCAGAATACAGTCTTCTTTTTCTGTTTTTGTCTTAACGGTTTTGGAATTGTGGTCAGTGGAAACAGCATAGTTTGCAGTAAAAATATTCCTGGCTAGCCAAGTGACACATCTGGTTAGTCAAGGACGAGGAAGAGAACAAACTCTTTCATTTCTCAGCAGCTCAGGAGAAGACATCTGGGTGGGTCTGCCCATGAGAATGTTTGTGAAGTGTCATTTGAGAAACTCTAGCAGAGCGAGGATGGTGAATTTCATAACTAAAATCAGGAATCAGGTCCAGAATAAAGTTTGGACAATTTTATAAAATTGTGAAGTAGATGAGATCCTACATGAAGACAATTATTCTGTCCCTCCCCTGCTCTTTAGGACAAGACTGAAATCATCCTAGAAAATTTACTATCTTTTTAAAAATCTCTAGAATAGGAATTTCTTAAAACTTTCCTGGATGAGCCTTTTAAATACCTCACAATCTTTATGGGAAGAAAAGTTTTCCTTCTTTCTAACCCAAATCCTTCTTGCGGAAATTCAAATCCATTCCCTCTTGTTTGAGGATCAGCCAAGCATTTAATGCCTTGATCAATTTGCGTCAATACATGCAATAAACTTATTGGTTTTTTAAGATGTGTAAAGTACACCTATTAGAACTCTTGGCTGCAAATAAATACCCAACTTACAGTAACTAAAACCATAAAAGAAATTACTTGATCCCCATAAGTGAAAAGTACAGAAGTAAGCTGAGTCTTGGCATATTAATAATGTCAATAAGGGCCTGGTTTATTTCCTATTATCTGCTCTGCTTACCACAGTGTCAGAGTCATCCTGAAACTATTTCCCTCATGGTGGCAAAATAGCTGCAGTAGTTCCGCACCTCACAGGCTTATACCACACCTTCCCTTCTGCTATAGTTTGGATGTTTGTCCCCTCCAAGCCTCATGTTGACATTTGATCCACAATGCTAGAGGTGGGGGCTAATAGGAGGTGTTGCAATCATGGGGGCGGATCCCTCATGAATAGATGAATGCCCTCCCTCAAGGGCGAGTGTGTTCTTACTCTATTAGTTCCCTCAAGAGCTGGTTGTTTAAAAAGGTCCCAGCACCTCCCCATATTTTCTCTTATTTCCTCTCTCATTATGAGATCTCTGCACAGGCCAGGTCCCCTTTGCCTTCCGCCATGAGTAGAAGCAGCCTGAGGTCCTCATCATATGCCCATGCCCAATCTTTAACTTTTCAGCCATCAGAATCATGAGCCAAATAAACCTTTTTTTTTTTTTTTTCTGTATAAATTACCTAGCCTCAAATATTCTGTTATCACAACACAAATGAACTAAGACACCTTCTAAGCAACAGGTTCTAAAATTTCCCCAATCAGACTTGCTTGGGGTATGTATCCACATTTGACCCAGGAAATGTAATATACTTGACCAGTTTGATTTAATCAGGGTTCACCCCGGACCTGGTAATAGGGGGTCAGCTTTCCAGTAGCACTTGGGCTTAGTGGGAAAGAAGACGAAAAGGAATTGAAATCTTGGTACTGTTGCAAAGGGGATGGGTAAGATGGACAATTGAATACTTGGTAGTTGTGCAAACAGAAATGCACCTAAGGTTGAAAAGCATGGTATGATTTGTTTTGCATGTAAGACATCTCCCCAGACCTGTGGCTTGTCCACTTAGAGATGGGTTTTATAATCCTCATATGTCAGTGTTTCCCACCCTTCCCTGATGATGAGAATCACTTGGAGCATTTGTTAAAGCCATAGCTTCTTAGGTTCCTCCCGTGGAGCTTCTATTCGATGGGTCTCGGATAGGGCCTGGGAAATTTTTAATTCGAAACATTCTCTAGGTGATGCTTATGAGACCAGTCCCATCCACAACCAATTCCAGTGCGTGCTCCTTCTACTCCTAAAAGCAGGGCAGG